ACCACTACCACTACCACTACTACGACAGCTACTACCACGTACTACTAACTCCACAGGCTCACATGCATTCTTCCGCAAATAATTCTCCGGAGAGTGCGTTTACACTTGGAAGCCTGCTCTGGGCATCCCTGCCACGAGCGTTCGCATCGCGATGTCGACTTCTCCAGCTACTGCCACTAAGGTCTAGGGGTTTAGGAGTTGAGGGTTTAGGGTGTGGGGAGTTTTTAAGGGGTTTGGGAGTTTAGGGTTTAGGATCTCTGTGCGTGCGGGTCATCTTGCAGGATGCCCAACGGCTGCGAGCTCCAAGCTAACTGTGCCTCTGGCAGCGGATCTTCCGCCATGCAACGTCGCAGCTCTAAACTCACCGTGCATCACGGGCTCCCTCCCCACCTCATTCGGATGCCATGGCTTCAGTCGGCTTCAGAGGGATGTTATACGGGCTGCTGTTGTCTATGGGGCTCTCCTAGCATTTACAAGTCCAGACCCCCAATCGAGGCAGCCCAGCCTCTGCTCTGGGACTCAGGTAAGGCAGCCTACGCCCTAAACGAAACCTCAACACCCCAAGCCCCCAAGCCCAAAACTAGACCCAAGGCCCTAGAAACAGAAGCTCTAAACCTAACAATCCAGAGCCAGGAACATGAGGCAAACCGCCGATCCTGAAAGCACGCCCAAAACCGAATGCAGAACGAGCGGTACGTAATGGCACGTACGCCCGAAGCATGAACTCGGCAAGCCCGAAAACCCGTTGAATGAACCTAAAAAACCATACCAATGTAGGGGCCTTAATAATTAAAGTAGGGTTTGGGGGCCCCTAGAACTCTAATTCCAATAAGGAGCCACCCAAGAATTGGAATAGATAAGTTTTCAGGCCCCTAGATATATAGAACCCTATTATAGATCCCTCCTAGAGCCCTTTAAGGCTTTAAGGATGCCATTAAAGAAACCCCATGAAAACCCTATTCTAATTATTTAGGCCCCAACCCTAAACCCTAAACCCTAAACCCTAAACCCTAAACCCTAAACCCTATTCTAATTATTTAGGCCCCTATATCATTTTTGTGCTTCCTGAAACGAGCTCCTGGGTCTTCGGCATCATGCGCCAGCCCGAGCTACCGACCTCAGCTCAGGGCCTTAATCGATTCGGTTTAGGGTTTAGGGTTTAGGGTTTAGGGTTTAGGGTTTAGGGTTTAGGGTTTAGGGTTTAGGGTTTTGGGTTAGTTTAGGGTTTAGGGTGTATAGGGGCCTCGAGAACTAGAACTAGTTTTTTTTTTTGGGGGGGGGGGATTCTTTTTGATGGGATCCTTAAAAGGGGCTCTATGAGGGATCTATAATAGGGTTTCTATATAGGGGCCTGAATAATTAGAATGGGGTTCTGGGGTATATTATACGATAATTGAAAAAAGGAACCCCCAGAATAGTGTAGGTAGTTATTAAGGCCCCTATATTAGGGCTTAATATTGGGGTTTAGGGTTGAGGGCTCAGGGCTTTATCATGAGTTGATCACAAACGGCTCCTGACGGCGTACGTGGGGCCTTGAACACAAGGCACAGCAGAATACCGAAAGCCGAGCCAAAGTCCCAAGCCCCTGCCAACATCCAGGATCCCTGCTTTAAGCTCTGCAGCTCCAGCCGGAAGCTGATCCATTGTAGGCTAATGTTGCTAAACTCGCCCCGAGCACTGAAACTAGACCCTCCACCTCAAGCCTGAAACCTAAAACCACAACAATAATAAATCTCACTACCAATAGCCTCAATAGCCTCAACCCATATCCCCACCGAATCAAAGGTGCGCACTTTCACAGGGCCGCGGAGGTAGGCGCCCCTCTTCCAGCGCCTCTCTCGCAGGACAAGAACAGCTAATGAGAGAAGCACGAACTCCCAACTCCAGAACCATCTTATTCAGAGCGTAAGCCTGTGCGAGAAGCTTGCATTGGGCTCTTGTTGCTGATACCCTGTCGGCGTAAAAGGGGCGTAGTACAGGAGCCTTAATAAGTAGAATATGGTTGGGGGGGTACAGTATACCACAATTATACAAGAAGGAAACCTTAAGGATAGAAGAGTATTCCCGACGCTTTAGGCTTCTGCTTCTATATACCCCTAGGCCCTAAACCCTAAAGCCTAATTGATGATTCGGACCTGGCTTCGTGACCTTCGGGGGCAAGCCGGGGAAAGGGGTCGGCAGGAGCAGGGGCGGGCTGAGATCAAGACTAAGACCAGTCCTCCTTTGCCGGGGTAGGTTTAGGGTTTAGGGTTTAGGGGGGTCTTAGTCCCAAAAACCACAACAGACTCCCCGAGAGCACCACCCAATTTGCATAAACCCCAACATGATTATGTGGTTACTACAGACTCCACCAAATGGGGCCCACAAGCCCTAAACCCCAAACCAAAGTGAGCGCCACGAAAGGGCCCACGGAGAAAGCTCTCAACCTTCTAACCCTAAGCCCTAAACCCTAAGCCCAAGTGAGCCACAAAGAGAGATCTCAACCTAAACCCTAAACCCTAAACCCTAAACCCTAAACCAAAACCGTAAACCGT